AAAGCGTATACATAGATATAACTTGAGGCTCTCAGTCCATAATGGTCTTAAATTACACTTTCACTGTGAGTATCTACCAAGTAAATAACTGTTTAGGGATATACCTGTAGCCCTCTTCTGAGGGTTTAAATAATTTTGTGGATATGCATAATCATAAAACCTTTATTGGATATTGTATAACAGATACACCCATCTTTGCCTGACCAAATGTGTTAGCAGCTTGCCTGTAGTCAGAGGGCTTCAATTCCCACAAAGTGGAACAAATTTGCCCGCTTATCTTTGCTGCAGGTCAGCAGTAATGAATAACTCGGCATATGACTTTAATCTGATGCCAAGAGAGCACGTTTCATGCTGGGAGCCTTAATCTCCTCTCAGGCACGTTAAAGTCAAGGGCATTCTTGGGTTGTTGTGTTGTGTGTCACAGACAGCATCGATATAGCATGGATTTATTCTTCAGAGTTAGGAGTATCATAGTTGTACAATATCATAGTGGAGTCCTCCGAGCTTAGAGGTCTAACACTCCCCAAAACAGTTTCTGGAAACGACAGACCAAGTCTGCTGAAAAACTTGGAAGCAAGCAGGAGGGTGACCCTTTCATATGCTGTATATTGTAGCTTGAAACCAAATAGAAGTTCAGAAAGCCTTCTGCCATCTGGTCAAAAAGAACACGTAAGGTTGTTCTGTTATTTTAAACTGTGCTAGGGTTCTGAGGATTGCAGAGCTTTTTAGCTTATACAGGGTTATTGTGTTGGTTTAAGGGAATTTATTTTTACATTTAACTGTACTGTCCTTTATTTTCTAAATATTTTCATAGAAGTGTTAAATCCTAACAATTGTACTTTTGAAGAAAATTGTCCTTTTCATAGTCTTATTTACACTGGGATGTTTTTAGAGTATGAGAATGCCTTAGGAGTGCTGGGGGGTTTTTTTGTTTACAATTCTGTTGCTGGTAGGTTAGTGAAACATAGGATTTATGCTGACCCCCCAAAAAATGCAAGTTCTGCTGCACTTATTTGGATCTAGATTAGCAGAAGAATGGATATTCTCAGGTAGTTGCTGATTTTTTTTTTTTTCTGAAAACCTGTAAATTTTTATTCAGTTTTCTGCTTAGCTGGTTTAGCTTGGTCCACCTGCATTGGATGAGTTAAAAACTAAATCAGCTGTTGATCTCAAAGCCTGAGTCAAATCAGTGTGTGGGTGTGAAATCAGAAATGGAAGCACAGTGTATCTGTATCCAGCAGAGCTCTTAGAGCTCAAAGGCAAAGAAAGTCAGCCAGTGGATGTGTTTGCCTCCAAGATCTGTATAATGTCCTCCATGTGAAGGAGGTGGTCCTGCGCTGCTGTTGGGTTACTAAAAGATTGGGTTTAATTTTTTGGCAGAATATAATGTACTGGGGTCACCTGGAGACCTGCCATCGTGACCGTTGGGGAAATGATGAGATACTGATGAAGGGCACCTATGAGCTTTTTGAGAAATGGAGAACTTAATTATTGCTTTATGACCCCAGGGTGCCTGTTTCATCCCATGTCTAAGTGATGTTGCTTCCCCTCCACCCCTTAGTTTTATTGTTCTGGGGCATGGGATTATACTTTGTCTGAGAATTACAGCATGTAAGAAGTTCTCCTGGGTCATCTGTGCCACTAAGTTTATCTGAGTAGCTTGTGTTCCCATGCTCTCCTGCCCACGCTTTTGCTTTTGCTGGTTGAAATCATCCATTTGTCTCCATCTAGGGGAAAATAGAGAAAAAGCCAGAATCAGCCGCTGCTGCACGAAAATCTGAACCCAATGCGGTCTCTAAAATGGCTACTACTAAAACAACTGTATCAAAAGAGGGTGCCCCAAAACAGCCCAATGGGAAAGTGAGTTTGTTTCAGACTTTTCTCTGTGGGAGATGAAGGAAAACGTTTCCATTTTGAGTCACTTTCCCTTCTCTTCAACTCTTCTGCTTTCTCCTGTCAGTGTCACTGTTTCTTGCACAGACACTTTTCCAATTCTTTCTTGTAAACCCCGAGATGTTCTCAGTTAAACACGTTCAGAGATCACTATTGTAGGTATCTTTTCCATGCCTGCTGTAAATGTAAATGTTTTCAGAGCAGAGTCCTCCATTTTTCACTTTTAGGTAGTTAGGCCTAACTTTGAGTCAGAGGTTTCCCTTACGACCAGTTCTTCATACACAGCACTAGTTTGTAACTAGGAAGAGAGAGCTTTAGTTCAGTGCTGCTTGCTTTCATTAAGACTGCAGAATATTAAGGACTTGATATCTTTCCTGCAATATTCCCAACCCAGTTGTATCAAAACTCTTTAACTCCATGCATTGGGCGGTCACCATTTGATGGGTTATTCCGAAGCTGTCGTGACATGGTATTTCAGCACAAGTGGATGGGGAGTGAGGCAGGAGTGCCTGCAGTGCTGGTGTAATTCAGATATTAGCAGGCAGAGCCTGTTAATGAATGGATGGGATTTGTACCTCTAGAGAAGTCAGTAAACCATTATAAACTGCCATGGCACGAGTACATTTTCAGAGCTGCTGTTGCACTGAATCCAGTCTTTCTGAACTGGCTAAGGAGCTTTGGGAAACCTGCTAAAGTGAGGATGTTCTGGTGATTCCTTTTGTGCTTTGAATTTATCACCTCTTTCTAGAAAGTACTCTAGATACAGCTTCTGCCACATTTTGTGCTGTGTTAAATAACTCCCAGACTAAACACGTGTCGTAACTAACCTTTGTAAACATGGGCCTGTTACTGTAACTCAGTTACTACCTTTGTGAGTAAAAGCTCACTTAGCGTACTCCTTTTGTATTTTGAAAAAGTCCAAGTCATTTTAGTTTAAATAAGACTTGTCTGATAAAATTTAACTGAAGGTTTGACAACCTTCATCAGAAGAATTGTTTCTCAGACCGGGCTTTACTGCCCAGAGATTTTGAAAGACGTTACCCAAGACTGGAACTAATCCAGGCAAATGGAAATAAAGTGCAGACACCGAGCAGTTCATAGCGTTGTTGGAAGTGATGGTCCCATGGCTTTGATCCGTGGAGGAAGGAGGCAGCTGAGCTGGCTCTCCCTGCTCTGGGGCAGCTCTCACCAGAGAGCTCCTGGGAAGCTTCACGGGGCACATAGATGAGCCCGGCCCTTCTGGCAGGCAGGCACCACCCAGTGATGCTAACCCGTAGAGTACATGGAGAAGCAGTCCTCATGGTAGCGCTTATGCTCTCGCACTAACACTGTCTGTGCAGCCTCTTGTTTCGTTCACTTTTTTTCTCACTCTCCTCCTCAGTTGCTTTCACACCTAATACTAAAGTTAGATTGAGTTTAACACAACTCCTTGTTTATCCACCGTGTTAGAGCATCCACTCCAGCCTGTCGTATGACAACTCTAACCAGTCCTCTTCCCTTGTGTTGTTTTCCATTCTGTAACATTCCAGGTCCAGATAGTCTCCAAAAAAGCGAACTACAGCCATGTTCAGTCCAAGTGTGGTTCCAAGGACAATATTAAGCATGTCCCTGGAGGTGGGAATGTAAGTATGGGCTCTGGGCAAGCTGTCTTTCTACTAACTCCCTCTCTTGTACTATGTTTTTATATGTCAGTCTTACAAATGCTGTGTTTCAGGCAGAAAGGTGTGGCAGAGTTTCAGGGCTTCTGGAAATAATGTAGGCTGGAGAAATTTTATTTTTTTTTTCCCCCATGGGATGCTAGGTTGAGTGTGTGTGTTTTGTTTCATAGTGCTGCGAATACACCTGACCTATTTCTCGCATGGTTTACGTGGTATTCATGACCAAATGTAGGATGTGCACATCGTTGACCCCAGGAGTTAGTTCACCATGGATTCCCTCTGCAGTCAATGGAGGCACCTCATCAGTCCTCTGACCTATTTTCGATGTCTGATTTTTTTAAAATGAAATTAATTGTGGCCTAGAAGTGCCTGTTACTCTTCACTGGCTAATAGAGCAAGCCTGAGTCAGATTAATTTCACTTCTTGTTTCACAAGAAGGGAGACTTTGAAAAAGGAGGAGGACGAGACTCTGGGGCTTAATCTTTGAGCTGTGATTAATTTCTAAATTTAAAGGCTACTGGTGTCTCTGGCAGCAGAGATGAGCTTATTAAAATAGAAAGCTAATCTTGTAATGTCTGTGTACTTGGTTTGGAGTATTATATCCTGAAAGTATCTGGCAAAAAACCAAGTTAACTATCTAGATACTAAAGCTTTTGAAAACATGACTATAGTTTGGCAGGCTTGTTTCCTTGTGGGCAAATCTGTACTACCTTAACAAATCTATGCTAGGCTGTTTGTACTAGGGATAGTTTGCAGAAATACAAAGATTGAATGGTTTCAAAAAGACACTGAAGTACTTAAGCCCAAGGAAGTCTTTTCCATTGGTGTTTAAATATGCCGGGTTCCTGAGATGTCCAGCTATCACATCTTGTGATGCTTTCTCTGTGCCCGGTGCCTGAGTGCCAGCTTCAATGAAACTCCCTGCATCCTTGCTTTGTGTAGTGTTCAAGGTGCAAATATTCAATTTCTGGGGCCAGACCTACTGTTGCCGTATAGTCAGTGTGTTCTGCTTCATGTCTATACAAATGCTATATAGGCCTGACTATGGTGCAGACTGCTGTGGCCAATTTTCTTGGGAAATACCTGTGTATTTGACTAGCTGGCTGAACCTTTACTCTACATGACCAATTTTCCTTAAATCTTTGCAAGAGGCAACCGAATCTGGGTCCTTGACAAACTTACCCCCTACAGGTTGGTTGCCAAGATGGTAAGAGGCAGATGTTGAAGTCACACGTGCAGTGTTTGCTTAACTAAGCTTGACTCCCCATTGAGAGTCGCTGGACACACATCTCTGCTGCCCTCCTTGCCTTCCAGTTTGTGGATTCTCACCAGTGGTGGGATTTGCCATTCTTATTTGAGATTTCCGTGACTTACCCAATGTTTATAGGAGTGCATTACGTGTGTGTATGGAGCTTCCCTAGAAATGCTCATGCAGGAGAATTCTCTGTGCCATAGAAAGAAAAACGGATGTTGAGACCATCCTGTCAATTAGGTGCCCTCATAATACTTTTTTTTAGCTATGCGTATTTCTGTTCCTACTGCGTATTTCATCTGGTTTTGTCACCCAAGTTTGGAACAGACTGTTTATACATAATCAGTGTTTTGTGGCAGAAGTCCCTTTGGCTATGCTGTTAAAGAGCAGCTGTTGTAACTTAACTGTTCATGCACTCAAAGGAGCTGTATTTTATAAGCCACTTTAATTTTGCCACTCCTACGTTGTATAGCCTTTTAGTGGACAATGAGTCTCACACATACTTTTCCCTTTTTTTGAGGCCAACAGAAATGTGCTTTAAATGTGGGAGATACTTTTCTTGCTTGATTAACTACATTAGTGAACTATTCTTTCTTCTAATGAATCATCAAAGCTGTCCTTTCCTTTTTACTGTCCTGTCCTGGGGACATTCCCAACTCTAGGGGACAAGTGTGTGCCTGCTTTCTTTTTCTCTTCTTCCACACTCTCCTTTTACCACTGCACTCTTTCTCCTCGCTCAACTACTTAAGCCTTTTGCTTTGAGAATAGAGAATAAAGTGCTTATTATTTCCAGGTTCCAAATGCCCCCAAACCAGCTTCAGGCAGTCGTTCCCAACCATCCAACGCCCCCAAACCCAGCACTGCCTGTACCACTGTGAGTAGATGAGGTGCAGCGGCCAGTCTGGCTTCCTATAAAAGCATTTCCTTTTATTCATTTTTAGATCTGCTCGCTCCCTTTGGGGCACTGTAATATTAGGGTCCTCTTCCAAGATGTTTTCTTGTTCAAATAGTTACGATGATCACTTCTGATAGAAGACTTCTGGGTCTTTAATTCCTGAACCACACTGCTGATGGGGATGTTTGGGAAGTCTGTTGTTCTAGTCTATGGCTTCAGTCAAAGGAATCCTGTGGACAAGAGCTGTGGTTAGTAGCAAATTACGATTCAGCTTTAGGGTTGCTCTGGTAGAAGTGATGGACATCCTACCTAAGTGGGGTGGTTCCTAGCTGGTACACTCTGGGTACCCATTTTGCCTTCTATACACGGAGATAATTTCTTCTCCCCTCCAAGATACCCAGGAAGACATGTTCAAAAGCAGTAGATATTGTTCCTACTCACATTATATTTGCAAAAAATACCTAGAGACAAACATAGTTAGATTTCCTGGGTAAAAGCTTTTGTTGTGCTTTAGTATTTTCCCCCTTTCTTTTTAAAGAAAGCAACAGTAAAGAGGTAGATTTTACAAAGTGCAGGCAGTGTATGTGTTGTTGAAGATTTAACAAGGTGATTTGGAATGTACATATGTTTCTCTACCCTTTGGCTGGACCTGCTTAGATGGATTGAGAAATGGTCAGAGATAGAAAATCTTAAAAGGAATGAGGCTCACTCTTCCCATCTGAGCCTCTGTATCAAGCTTTCAGATCTAAAGTTTATTTCTGGCACCAGAGTCTGAGTATTTGGTTCTATAAATGCAAGCCCAAGTCTTTAAACGTGTCTCCCATTGCAAACTCAGAACAACTAATGTTAGAAATCTTACCAGAAATACACTTCCATTTAGGAGTAATTGTTTGGATCCCCAGGTGAAATCATGAGGAGTCATAACTGGGTATGTCTACCCTAGCTGATAACAAACATTATTATTTTAAAATGCATTCTGTGAAATAAATTTAGTTTTATTCCACTTCCAAGCAAACAAGTACTCATTATAAAAGCTGTAGTAACTTTACTAGCAACCCCCAAGAAAATCAAATTCAGTAGCCACGATCTCACCTCTTCGGAGTGTCTGGTGTCACTGAGTCAGGGTACATGAACACGGAACAGTGTAGCAGGAGGCTGAACTGTGCTGTTCTAATTCTGAGCGAACAAGACATCAGGGCTTTGACTCATCCCTCTGCACAAGTACTAGGAGGATCCGTGCTTCCTGAGAAAGATGTGTATTGCAAATTATCATGATAATTCTCAATAAGCTTTTAGAGTAGCTTGTAAGTGAATGAATTCTTGTCACATTCAAAAAAAAAAAAAGATTTTCATTTTCTCTGCGAGACGATCTATAGCAGAACTTTCTGTGCATGTAGGTGCCAGCTGGTGGTTGCTGACACGATTGGGAGAGGTGATCCTCTTAATGTTACTACCAAAAAACCCCGGATTTTTCCCATGGAAAGTTACAATGTCAACTTAGTAGGGGGTTAGACGGGATGACCAGAAGTTCCTTCCAGTATAAATTATCCTATGTTTGTATGAAATGAAAGATCTCCAAGTAGTTAGACAAGAAGTTAATTCTGGAATAGAGGAATTTTTCATCCACCTAGAGCTGCAGGAGGAATTTTAAAGATGTCAGAAATGGGGCTCTGTACAATGCATTTGGTCCCGGTGTCAGAGATGAAATATTTTTTGAGCAAAAAGACATAAAACCTGTGACACTTTGACTCCATCTTTGTCCTACCCCAGAGAAGACACTTCTCCCCAAATTCAAACTGATGTCCACAAACACCGTGCTAGAATATTTGGCTCATTGACTTGGAATAAGGTCATTTACTGAGTCATGAATATCTCACGATTTCATGATTGCATCACCGAACACTTTTTCATTGAAGGCTTTCTATGCCAGTATCAAGTCACTGGTAGAACGAGGTTAAAGGAAATAATACTGGAAAGGAAATAGCTTCCCCACTCCCAGTGTTTTGTCTTTGAGAATAATAGCTTCTTCAAGCAGTTTGTTCCATCTGGGCATGATGATCCTTCCTGGTGTCCTGTTCTCAGCAGGGAGGAAAGACCGCTGTGAGGAGGCTGCAGACAAAGTCTGACAATTAGGTGTGGGTCAGTCTGCACATTGAAGATGGTGGAGAGAAAAAGTTGGAGCTGGTGGCATGTCTCTGGCCCTACAGCAAGAGAGTGGCTGAGTAGAACTGAGATCACATCTGTCCTGGTGACTGTCTGGAGCTGCCCGGGCAATGGCCCATGTCTTCAGAGGCAGAGCCAGCGCTGGACAGAAACAGTCTGGGGAACATGGCAACGGGACTGGCTTTTTTTTGGTCCCTCTCCCAAGTGGTTTTGTATTCCATGAATGTGCCATGAACTCAAGACTCCCGTTTCTGGTTACTGTCCATCTGTTAGTTTTATCTGGTCTCAATTTCTGTCTGCTCACATTAACCACTTCTGGCTGGTGCAGGCCTTTAAATAATGCTAAAGCTGACTATAGCATTTGGCATACAGTGGCTGGGAAATCACTAGGAGAAAATAATGCAGTAGAAAAGGGGTGCAGGTTCATTAAGTGTGACCTGATGTTTGAGATGGTCCATTGGCCTCCAGATCCACAGGAAATGTTTCTTTGCATTGAGTTGTTTCTTTTTGCCTCTTTAGGTGCAGATCCAGAACAAGAAAGTTGACCTTTCCAAAGTGTCCTCGAAGTGTGGCTCTAAAGCAAATATCAAGCATAAGCCAGGTAGAAATTTTACCATTTCCTCATTATTTGCCTGCAGATATTGCAAGTCATTTAAATATAGTCCTGGATTGCGACTGAAATAGTTTAAGGGGTTTGTTGCTTTCAGGGAGTATTTCTAGAAGTACTGTCTAGCTTCTTAGCAGTTCCTGGTGGTTTCATCAGTGGAGAAGGGGATTAGGAGATGTGGGATTTCATCTTGTCTGTGAAGATAATCCTCTGCTTCAACTCGGTTCTCTTCCCCCCCCGCCCCTGCTTCAAGTCGGTTCTCTTCCCCCCCCGCCCCCCCTCCCCATTTGGGAAAAAAAAAAGTGGATACTTACCATGACCGTTCCAGGAGTCTGGAAGCTTTGGGGCGCTCTGGACGTGTGTGCTATGGAAGGATAAAGTAACTTCCCTCCAGTTCTTCAAAGCAGATACAAGGGTCTTTTTAGCCTTTGGTTCAGTAGCATCTCCTGTCTTACATAAAACACTTTTGGCTCTTTAATGACGTATTATGGGATGAGTGTGCAGGAATTATTTGCTCCCCACTGAGAACACAGCATTTACTCTGCATGAATTCCTGCGAGTCTTGGGTTTCCTAACCAAGCAATGACCAGCCCACCGCTCAGCTGGACCGTAGGCCAGTCTCGAGTTCAAGATGCTGTGGCTGTAGGCAGATTGTTTGAACTGTGCCTTCGTAGCATCCTACAAATGGTATGGTCAGTTCACTGACCTTTGCTGGTTTGTCTGTATCTGAGGACAGTTATCTGCACAGGAAAACTCCTGGCAATCAAAGATACATGCACGAGGGACAAAGTTCACTGACCAAAGCTGAAAACAAACACTACAAGCTTGCTTTGTCTGCTCCTGGGAGTTTCCTGCACCCTTTCTGCCAGCCTGTTAGGCTGAAAGCAGTTCAACCTTACGCACCGAGCACCACGGTTCAATACCTCAAAACGCGCTCCCGCTTTGAGAACGTAGTGCCACAAACATGACCTCTGTTTATTCAATGCTCTGTAATAACAAGCTGTGCGTGACAATAACTGCTCTTGTCCAGGGCTGATTAAAGCAGAATAATCCATCCAGAATTATCTGTTGTCAGATGTTTTAACTGATTTTTGTTAGACCAAATCAGTTGGCTTCTATCATTGGCCATGCAAAGCTTCCAAAGTGCTGAGGACTGAGTATTTAACGATGTCACTGGGAAGCTAAGTTGTGCTTAGCCATACTTAATAGTTGAGAAACCTACTGGAATATGGACTGCACGTACAGTCTTATATATTAATGGGAACGGCAGTATTCTAAATCTAGGAAAATCTGCCTAGAAAGCTACAGTTGTTTTTCTGACCTTCATGTTCTCCTGAACCTGAAGCGCCCATCCAGTTCCCACGCTTGGCTTCTCCCTGCCTGCACGGCTGCCTCCTGAGTAGTTCAAGCAGCGGCACGTGGGTCTGTGTGTCAGGGAGGAGTTGTCGGTCCAGGCGGTCATAGAACTGCCAGTGATGGAGTAAGAATGGATAACGAGCAAAGGAATGCAGTTAACAAAAAGGAGCAGAATGTGTCCCGGCACCAACGACTACACAGATGGGCTGAGCTGGCAGAGACCTTGGCAAGGGACATGGATAGGAGTGGGCAGCTGGTATTAGCCATCAGAAATGCACCAGTGTGGGATCAGGTGGAAGCGGCATTTCACACCTCTACTGGGGGAGACAGATTCATGAGCAGATCTAGTGAGGCAGTTGGCATGCGGATATCATCCAGCCTGTCTGTCTGGACATGTGGAGTTCCCCACCTGGGGGCACCTCCAGGGCTTTGCCGTGCAGCCCTGCTTGCTTGCAGTCTTGCTTGGCCGGCACAGGCTGAGATCACCAACTTTGATCTTACCGTTTTTTAAACTGAACCTTAACTGGAGAGAGACTGAGACACTAAATGGTCGTGTCCCTCCTCCAAAGTGCATTGGGTCCCCAGTGGTTCCTCGGTGGGGCTGGGAAGGGGACAGATCTCAGGTGGGACTGTTCTGGAGGCATTAATAAACTCCTACACAATCTTGTTCTAGGGGGAGGAGATGTCAAAATTGAGAACCAGAAGCTGAACTTCAAGGAGAAGGCCCAAGCCAAAGTGGGTTCTCTGGACAACGTGGGACACTTACCAGCAGGAGGAACCGTGAAGGTGGGTGCAGCAAGCTCTGGCATGTCAGGGTAGGGTTTAAATTTGGTTGCTTTCCTTGTCCTGCTGTTGATGGTAGTGCAGCTTCTGCACCCCCAGCCTTTTATAGCCATCTACTTATTTCTGTGGCCTTTGTTGTCAACCCCAGGAGTAAGTTATGAGTTGAAAAGGAGAGAGCTATGAACGAGCTCTGTGGCCTGCCTGAATGGGCTCCCTGCTAGGTGTTTACTCAGAGGGCTCGTACTGCCTATCTGCATCCTTCCTCTAAGAATGAGAACAGGGATCGCTCTGTAAGTGATGAGCCCACCAGAGGAGCTGCCTGTGGCCCTTCCTCCTTTCGTTACCCCCAGTAAAGCTGGTGAGAGCAAGGTGCTCTGTGCTGGGAGATAGCACCTTGCAGCTCCTGGGAGTTTTCAGCCCGTAACCTGTACTGCAGCCTTGCCCAAAGGCCCTTTGTGTGAGGATAAGAAAAGATTGTTGCGCGCTCATTGCTGTGATTCAGCGCTTCTCCCCATGAGGACGTAAACTGCCCCCAGCCTCAGCTCTGCAAATTGCAGGTCTCGCTACAGCAATGCGACATCTGTGCTTAGGGGGGGGAAATTACCCCCGCTTGACTGACCGAGTGACGGATGTGTGGGCTTGACCTATCACGCCACGTAACGATTAGAGCAGTGCTGGGGATTATGTTTAGGTAGTCACTTCTGCTGGGGCTTTTATGTGAAACACCGCTGCTTCTGAATTGGCTGGTAGCGCTGGAAGCGGAGAAAATAATCCTGTGCTCCGGCATCAGAACTGTTAAAATATGACTTAGTCTTTGCCCCCAGCAGGATAGACAGATGGAGGAGAAGAAACCCCTTCTAAACACTGAGCTCCCTTGGTTGTCCCAGCATTGTTTTGTTTGAGCACTTTTGTGCTGTGGAAGGGTTTAGAGTTCAACCGGGTTGAGCTATTGTGTTAAATGCCGTGTGAATTTGAAAGAAATAATCCCTGTCCTAAAGAGCAGATCATGCAGCAGAATTCAGAAGTATATTTAGTATGTGCTTAATCATCCCCATTAAAACAAGGCAAGAGGTGACTGCCAGAATATTTGCTGGGGACACATCAGGACTTTCCTATCTCCAGGCCTTTATGTAAACTTCAGCCTGTCAAATTGGGGCTCAGTGAAAAGCTGAAAAGAACTAGAGAAGCTGCTGGTGTGTTGGCAGGGATAGGGAACTTTCTGTAACAGTGCCTGGCTGTTCCAGTTTACTGGAGTGTCTAGTCCCTGTACCAGTGCTATTTGCTGGTAACTAGGGTTTTCACTGAAGTTCTAAAATCTTACCTGTTCAGAATTAGTGTGACTTTTTAAGTATTTTTCCCCCATCTCCACAGGTGCAGAGAGTCTCTGTCGATGACTCATCTGGTATTTTTTTGGGCTCTAATATTTAGCCTTGCAATACAGAGACCAAATCATTTCCCTGTTGCATCCCACAGATCTCAACCAGTGCTGTCATCAGAGCAGGGGCAGGTGGCACTTAGGGACTGGCACACACATTCAAGAGGGCTGGCTGCTCTTGCTCAGCTACCCTCTGTGGTTCTCATGGAGGTGTGGGGATCATCAAAGTCTCTGTAGTTCCTGCAGAAGCATCTAGGTATCAGTGTTGCTGTCAGTTCACGGGTGGGAACTTGGACCCCAGAAGGAAGGGGAGGTGGTTTTGCTGCTTGTTGAGTAAGCAGGGACAGAGCCAGTCCATGGCTGTCTCGCATTGCTACCTGGGCTGCAGGGAGAGGGTCTGACTTAGTCTTGAGAAGAGCACAGCAATGGATAAGACTTTGTGGGGCAAGGGCATGGGGTAAGAGCAGAGGTGCTTTGGAGTGGAGGGTGCCACCCTCTCCCCGTACTCCTCCCTACTGAACGTGGCAGCAAGGGGATGTCCTGGCTGGATGGGTTCCTCCTTCCCGGGGCTGGGCTGGTCCAGCGTGGCATCTTCTCTGCTTGACGTGCCCTGCAGTCTTGGACATGTCTGAATGTCTTTCCAAGCAACTCTGCATTACTCTCAGCAGGGTCCCACCAGCATATTAGTGTCTTCTCTAATGGCAGTAGGACTTAGCTCTTCTCTAAGGCTCGTAGAAGTTGGTGACTCCAGGTGGGATGACCAGCTGTGGTAGGAGAACAGACCACGACAGAGTCTTCTCTAAAGACTGCGCTCCCAGTTCATAGTCCAGCATCAGCATCAAGTGAGGATGAGGTCCTTTGTGCAAACTTGGCCTTTCTGTTTTGGGATCCACTATGTATCATTTGGGTCTGGTATATAAATGTGTCCCCAAATAACGGAGACTGCTTCAGGGCGATGTACCCAAACCACCTGCTTGCTTTTGACCCCGTAGCGCTCTGCTTTAGTCCTGTCAACGTGCCTCGGTGTGCCTTTGCCTCGGCTGTCCTCTGTCAGCAGGACATTACAGGCGTGCGTTTGGGGAGAGGGTGCTGAGCTCTGGACCCTGTGGTCAGGGACATGGCAGCCATGCTCAGATGAGCTGGCCCGGAGCAGCGCAGGGCCGATGGGTCTGCAGGGACCGAAGCGCTGTGGGAAGCTGGAAAGCTGCTCAGGACGGTGGCTTCCCGGGGAGCGGAGGGGCTGCTTCCCGCTTCCAAACACCCCCTTGTCCCTGTGTGTGTCTCGGCAGCTGGGGAGGGCAGAGGGGGCTCTGGGAACCCACATTTCACCCCCCTGCACCCCCATCTTCTATTGACTCGTCCCTGTCATCCTCCCCACCCCATTGTCTCATTGTAGGCTGAGGGGAGCGGGGAGCCAGGGCAGCTCCCGCCAGCCCCTCAGAACGGAGAGGTGACAGCGGCCCAGGCAGGCAGTGAGATGCGGGAGAATGGCGTAGGGCCGGCAGTGCCCACTGCCCTGAGCGGTGGTGACCAAAGGGAAATTCAGAGCTTCGAGACTCAGATACAAGAAACAAGTAAGTGCCTGTGCCTTCTCTCTACACACTCTGCCGGGTGGGGTGGGGAGAGCACTGCAGCAGGGCAGAGCAGCCGCCCCTGGGCACTGGTCACACCGCTGTAATCTGAACTGTTTGTATCGATGTCTGTAGGGGTTTTTTTGCCTTTTTTTAATTCAGAAAATTGCCTTTTATTTTCCAGGCATCTAATGATGACATTATGGTATCGTCTTCCATTCCCCTCCTGTCCCCTCTCTCCTCCTCTTTCCTCCTCCTGCCCTTCCCCTTCTCACCTGCCCTTGTGTCGCTGCAGATTGAATCTCACAAGCTGACGTTCCGTGAGAAGGCCAAGGCTCGAACAGACCACGGAGCGGAAATCGTCGTCTCCAAACCCCCCAACCTTTCCAGCAGCACTTCCCCCTGGCGTAGCACATCCGTCAGCGAGAGCCTGGGCTCAGTCGCCTCCTTGTCACCGCTGCAACAGCCAGCTCCCCTTGCAGCGCTTTCTCAGCAAGGCTTGTGACCCCTCCCAGCCCCGACTCCCACGTGCTCCCCAGAGTAACGCAGCTTGGCTCTCTTAACTCAGCGTCTGGCTTTAGATGGGAAGGGGACAGTATTTAGCAGGGCTAGCGTCCCTTTCGGCCGCTCTGACTCCTCGAAGCATCCTGGAGGCTCGCCCCTGCCCGAGCGTGCCGGGCTCTGGTGGTCCCTCTTTGGCTGGAAAGGGCTTCCTTCCCTCTCCGCGCCTTGTCCCTCTTGCTTTTAAGGGGATGCTAGAGTGAGTGTTAGTGTCGTGTTTCGGGGACGGGCATCTAGTGGCTTCCAGGCTGTGTCTCGCTGTCTCGAGCAGTGCGGAGAGGCACGCCGAGCCTGGGCGGCGGGTGGCTGGGTAGGAGCAGGCCTACGCTGCTGGTGGCTGAAGCCAGGCCGGAGTTAATAGGGATAAGCTGTGATCTTTCTGTCTTTTTTAAAAAAAAAACAAACACGACCTTTTCCTCCTTGCCGCTTCAGTTTCTGCTGATCCTGTTTGATGATGATATATATTATACACACATGTTAGGCTGTTTTAACTGTTGACTTTAACCTTTTATTCTTTGTGACGATGTGTTGATGATTTATCGTGCTACAAACCCATGCTAAGTTTCCTTTTCTCTTTCCTTCTTTTCCTAACCGTAGGAGAGTAGAGACATTAACCGCTGCTGCAGTGCTGGCTTCTTACTGACATATCCAGCAATTGTAACTTTTTTGTTGTTGGCTTTTTTTTTTTAAATATTTTAAAACGATGGAGCAAATTCATGGGATTAAGCCACGTCTGAAATGAAAGGCACAAGACTGTGTTAAAGGAAAACTTGCTGTAACAGATCAGATGAAGCCTGTGTTGACTGCAACGAGACGTGTTGAATCGATGCTCGTAAAACCTCCTGTAGGGCCAAACCGCCAGCCCTGGAGGATGCCTAGGACCTTCTGCGCATTAGCAAGGCAAAGACGGTTTATTTATTAACTTGCACAGCCAAAGCCCTGGGATTTATCTTTTTTCGGCCAGGGCCTGAGGTCTGGAGGAAAGGCAGGAGGCTGCTTTCGCGGTGGAGTTGCAGGTTAACGCAGGCCGTGAGTTCTGAGGCAAAAGCAGGTCTGTGGTGTGCGTGTGTGTTGTTTTTAGAGGCTGATGTATGGGTAACCGTATCGTCAGGCTGAGCAAGTCTGGTGGGAGGCCAAGGTGGGGAAAGAAGGGAAAGGCCACCTCTCATCCAGGGCGTGAGGCAGGGGTAGCAGAATGTCTGTGGAGGGCTGGGAGGGAGGCAGAGCCCGTGGCTGGGGCAGGGGAGGCAGGTTTCTAATGCCAGGGAGTTGCAGCTCTGATTAGGAAGGAGATTTACGTACTCTTTGAGGTGTGAGCTCCTCGTTTCATGTTGCAAATGACACTAAAGAAATTAAATGTAAATAAATTAAAAAAAAAAAAGTGTTCTTGGGTCGTCAAACTAATTTAAAGCAAAAAAAAAAAAAGGTGGAATAACAAAACACTGGGATCAAAGTGAACTGAACCAGGCGTGTGCTAAGGGGGGGCTGTTCAAGGAGGGGACAGAGGGAAGCCTGCAGCTTCTCATGCTTGTGGGAATATTTCTTTGGGAAGCCGACAATGACATGATAACCCGGAATCTGTATTTACACACAAAGATTCTTATTGCACTTGTATTTTTTATATTAAAGTTTGCATGATTTCTAATAAAATGGCATTAAAATGTACTAGTTTGCATCAAAGTCGTCTGCTAGTTTCATAAGTGCTTTTTCCTCTGAATACAAATTTAAATAAGCAATGCAGATTTGCACCTGAAAGGGGCGGTTATATATACCCTAGAAAACTCCCAGTGCTTCCCTTCCTCCTCCTCCTCCTCCTCCTCCCCACCTCTCCCCTCCCCTCCATGCCACATCCCTCTAATCCCAAAGCAGGGAAAGCGGCCAAGCTGGTCGTTCCCTGCCCTCATACTGTGCCGTGCTGCGTGGCCTCGGTGCTCGCCGCTGCCGAGGCCAGCCCTAGACTAGCCAGCACTAACACCCCGGGCCCTCTCACTCTCCTGACGTGTGGCTGGCTCTGCAGAGAGGAAAAGCTGGAGCTGGGGAAGGGGCTGAAGCCGCCCTCCCGCCCTGCATGGGGCAGGCAGCTGCCTGGGCAGGCGCTGATGCCGCCTCTAGCTCCGGGCTGGGGTTGGAAACCTCATTTCTCAAGAGAGCAGAGCTGTGTCTTGATGCTTTGAAACCCTCCGGACGGTCCCGTGGCCTGTGACGGTGCTGCCCCCCACCACCTGTTCACCTGCATGCTGCCCCCCGGTATATATCACTGCCCCTTCGCTGATGCTTCCTTCTTTCTCTTACTGCTAAATTCTAAACACCAGCTTGATCTTGTCAATCTTGGGATTGTTTTTGGTTTGTTGGTTTTTTTTTTTTTTCCCCAACACTTGAATTGAGGGGAAGTTTGGAGGAGAGGGACTGAGAGGAGAGCGGGCTGATCCCCTCAGCAAGAGAAGGCAGGGGCTGTGCTTCCCCAAGCAATAACGTCGAACCGCTCCGGGCTAGGGCTGCCCCGGCAGCTGCGGGAGGGCAGGCAGGCGCTGTCGAGAGGGTCCTGTGCCTGCACGGGGTGTGCAGAGCCCTGCTTCCCTGCCTGCCGAAGGCAAATGCTGGCTGGCGGCAGGCTGAAGCTGACCTCCAGGCTCACCGGCCAGGCAGAGGAGCTGGGAAGTTTGTGCTGGTGGGCTGTGGCCGGGGACCGGCCGTGGGCTCGAGGCGGGGATGGCACCGGTGGTGTTCGTGGTTAACCAAAGAGGAGGTGGAAGCTGAAATGTCGCGTTCCTCTTGCTGCTCTGCCCTGGGCACCCAGGGGGTGAGATGCCCAGGCAGCCAGGTCCTGGTCTTAGTTCAGGTGCCGCAGGAGGAAGGCAAGTGGCAACATTGCACTTTATCTGCTGAGATTGCATTTAAAAAAAAAAAAAAAAAAAGGCAAGCAAACCCCTAACACCCTGCAAAGGGACAGTAACACCACTTTCTCCCCTTGCATTGCTTTTATCTGATTTATTGACCGCTCGGCAGTCTTGGATAAGGCTTTCATGTCTGCATACGGTTGTGGCGGCATTCAGGCCTGTCTCCGAACATGCACAAACCTTCCCGGACTCTCACACGGTTCAGCTGAACACTAACCGACTGACCTGTGCTTCTGTGCCACTTTCTCTAACACTTGTTGTGCCTGTGTTTAGCTGACAAACTAAATCCAGATACACTAGTTTGGTGTGGTTTTTCTAGGACAGCTTCAGTTTTAATATGGAATTTTTTTTATTTTATTTTAAGGAAACAGCTGTACATATTGCTAGCCTGGGAAGAGATCCATGTGTGGTGAAAGTGACTTTAGTTTCCTATCTGGAGAGGTGGGAGTGAGCTGGTTAGTGCTGAGACCTTAAATGAAGACTGCAGAGAAGCTGCTGGCTGGCGAGTGTCTGCCCAGACGGAGAGAGCAGGGGAAGGAGTTGTGTTCGCTGTTGGCTTGATCTAGGGCTAGAGATGATAGCAAATTATCTTGGGGAAAAAAAGAAGAGTTGTGGTCTGAACTAGATGATACAACTTGAATGTACGCGTTCCTGTCCTGAGATGCCTCGTGTGGGTCCTGGCTTTCTCTGCAGCTGCGCTTGGCGTGACGCTGCTCGCGGGAGAGAGGGGAGGGCTGGGGTGGCCGGAGCAGCCTGGTGGCTTTGGTGAGCTGGGAGAAGTCAGGCGCTGGTGGGCTTGGTCCCCACTGGATGGGGCACAGAGGCAGCGTGCACAGGGGTGCGTGGGCAGCACTCGAGCTCCAGGTGGGCCGGAGCCTGCTCCTGCCTCAGGCAAGATGCTCAGCAAAAACCTTTCCTAAGCTCATGGTCAGGGTGAGCGGTGGCTTGGAGGTGTCAGCTGCTGAAGCATGAGGAAGCAGTGCAGGCTGCGGTGGGGCTGCGGGCAGGGGATGTGGTGCGGCAGGAGGGGCTGAGGGGGAGCTCCTTCCCAGCGGGCGCTGGGGTCCCTCCCTGGCTGCCAGTACCCACGCTCTGGCAGGCAGGAGGCTTCCCCTTGGCCCAGGCTGCTCAGCGGCTCTCCTGTCTGCTGGAGCCTGGTGTCTCCCTGTGTATCAGTGGCATATACAGTTACTTTGGGGCTTTTTATACTATTAAACAACGTACATTCAAGTAACCAAGTTTGTGGGCTTGAGGCTACAGGAGCAGGAGGCCGGGAGCCGTGGCAGCTTTGCTGCTGCCCCTGCATGCCTCCCCTTGGGTCGGAGTCCTGACCGCAAACTGAATGTAGTTTTCTATGCTGATCCTTGCTGTTGTCCCCCACGTAGTGTTGGTGTGTGAGTGGGGCTCTAGGACCCTTGTGTGTTTGTGTCATTTAGGCAGAATTTCTAGTTTTCTTGGAATGGGGCAGGAGCTCGATGTCGGTGACAGCTTTGGGGTGGCGGGGGCTCCTGTGTCCTTCCCGCACGTGGAAGGAGGGAACGGCTGAGCCCTTCCTGAGCCAGTCATGGCTGTTCACCGCTGTCCCTGCAAAAGGCCGAGCGGCCGTAGCTGTTGGGAGACCAGCAGCCTCCAGGCCTAGGAGAAATGTCACCTGAAAGCCCCCCCTGGCCTGGGGCAGCCTGCGGGTGGGGGTGGAAAATTGCTATGGGAGGCAGCAGCAGAAAGCATGCTCCGTCTCTCCTTCCTCCTCACCACCTGAAATCCAGCTAGAGTAAGCGTTTGCCTTTCAAACCTCCCTCACACGAGTCTCGCTGGCCACCAGCTGGTGTCTAGAGTAAGAGATCAGACACGAGACTCCTGTCTTGCACCCGTTGCCATTGTCCCACCCCAGCATTCAGCATTGCCTGCAGCTTTGATTACCCTGTAACATAGATACAATGAATAATGATATAGTCTGGGAGGGGGTAATGACCATGTTGGGGCGGGGGGTGGACCGAGAGGACAGTGTGGCTGGAGATGAGGGCTTGGGGCGCAGGACCCAGCAGGGCTGATCCCAGCTCTTGGCTCCCTCTGTGGTCTCGGGAAGTCATTTAACCTCTCTGCCTCAGTTTCCCCATCTGCAAGGTGGGGATGATACTACTTACCTCACCAGGCTGTTGTGAGGCGTGAACAGTATGTAAAGTGTTCTCTAAATGTGATGTATTATTATTATTTTGTGTCATAGGATTATTCCGCGGCAGCACTGTCTCCTCTGTGGCGGTGGGTGCACCGTGCTGCCTGAGGAGGGGTGCAG